AAAACGCGTAGATGAATAACTTTCTACTTTGTCTCATTATCTTCACATTTGTCCGGATATTATTATACATCCTACTAACGTCAATATATATATAAGTGTTGACTTCAGTGTCCACTTTTATATTTAGATTTACATACGTTCTATCCCTGATATTGAAAATTTTACTCATAAAATCTTAAAACTAAACTTCAACAAACTGACAGTGCTGAATGTCGCTTGAATCAAGAAAGCTGGGAGAATATACTAAACCATAACACCAACAGCGAAGGCGTCCCGGGTTAGAGATCAAAATCCTAACGCTGAGTTTCTTTAGACGATATATGTCCTCTCTCTCTCTCTCTCTCTCTCTCTATATATATATATATATATATATATATATATATATATATATATATATATATATACTAGATTAAAACAAAAACATGTTGAAAATCGCTACAGCTTTCATATTTCAGCAATAAGTTGTGTTTCTTCAGGTGATGGCAAATGACTGGTGAATAAATGATTATTTTTAATTTTAAACGCAGAGTAGCCCCTCTTTTTTAGAAAGTGAAGAGAAGAGGAGATAACAAATCAGAATTAAAAAGAGGCCTGTAATTTACTTACTAAATATGACCGTTTGAAATAGTACTACCAAGTTCAAAGTTTAACCATATACTAAGGTGAAAGGTAGATTATGCCTACAATTTACAGTTAATTCGCTTCTTTGGTTTAATTTCTTATCAGAAAATCTAATACTTTCCAATTTCTCGTTTAAGCATAGGAAGCAAGGTTCGTTTAAGAATTTACAAGTTTTAGCTTTTTTTAAACTTTCCATCTTACCGTAGGATTCTTCTTAACCTCTTCTAAATTCCAAAAATATTTGGAAAGAGATGTTTTATTTTTATAAGTGCTATTGGTGAACGATAGGATATGTTGGTACCACCCAGTTTTAAAAGAATTCTTAGTACTCCCTATATAACATTTTACAACAGTCAGATTTTCTATTATCAGGCAGTAACAGACTTGACTAACAAATTCATTGAAAGAACCGCCGCGTATGGAATGGAACTCAACACAGAGAAATCCAAAGTGATGGTTAATAGCACAAGTAATACCAATTCCAGCGTCACCATGGACAACGAACTCCTAGAGGCTTCAATTACTTGGGTGTAACCCTATCAGAAGATGGCACCTGCAATGTATGCACCCGCACACGGATCGCCACAGTCACAGCAGCGATGGCTAGACTGGAAAGAATATGGAAAAGCAACATCAGCTTCCAGACCAAGTTCAAGCTCTACAAATCGCTAGTCATATCCATCTCCGTCTACGGGTGTGAGACTTAGACATTCCTGGTTGAGGCAGTAAAATAATCCAGGCATTCGAGAAAAAATTCTTGAGGAAGCACTTCCACATCTCCTACTCAGAGCACAAAACCAATGACTATGTAAGGAGTTAGGTCAAAAGTTGTCGTGAGCCGACAGGAATATCTTTTCGCCATTATTAAGCGTCGGAAGATATGGTCTGGCCGCGTCACACGGCAAAGTAACTTCTACAAGATCACCATGATAGCCGCTGTTGAAGGCGGAAGAAAGCGGAGACGTCAACGCAAAAGCTGGTCAGGCAACATCAAAGAGTGGGCGGACATGGCAATGCCGGAACTCGCGAGCCACCGCCAACAAATCATCCTGGAGGAGGTTGTTTACTTCTTCTAACCTTATATTCCCCGGGCGATTGCAGCAGTCAAGGAATTGGTGATTATGATGATGATCTCTGAAAGGATAGGGTACATAAATGAAGATTCCGTTAATAATTTTTTTACCGAAGTAATTAAATTTTGCTACATTTTTTTTATTATTTAAATTTTATATTTTTGTTTTTACCATCAAAATCTTTGAGGAATTTTGCTTTACTTTTCTTAAAATTGATTTTAATTTGAAAAGGAATTTTAAATAATATATATGCACCTATATATTGAGATAATTATAAATTTTCAATTTTGTCTTCACTTGGTTCGAATAATATTATACATCCTAAAAACATACACAATAGCAAGAATAACACGAGAAAATTTGGAAACTCAATTGGTCTGATCTTCTCCACCAGCCATATTCACCTGATCTTGCACCAATCGATTTTTAAGTTTTTCGATCACTGCAAAACACAAAAGATACTAGCTGAAGTACCCGTCTATAACGATTATGTCGTCAAGACATAGATCGAAGCTTCTTATAATGACAATTGAACAAATTCTTAGTACTCTAATGGTGAGTTGGTAAGACACTGTATATATACAGCCCTGAAAAATAATCTCATGTAAATTCTACAACTAAGATGAAAGAAATGAAACAGATAACTATGAAATGTCTACTATATCATTGTTATTGTCATTATTCAAGTGCAACAAGGTTTATTTTTAGCAACACTGGTAATGTACAGTACTAATAGTAATTAGTAACATAAAAGAAAAAAGGGAAATGGATTTCATTTGTTTTTAGTAAATTTCCATGCCATGTGCAGTGTGGTGAAATGAAAAGTTGAGTTCGAATGTTTCAATAATAGAGACGGTTAGACAATCATTCTACACAACAGTAACACATTTTATTGGGTAGATTCTAAATATTTTAACGAAACGAAACATTTAAAAGCCGACCTTTAACTGGAATCGAAATTTTGCTTAAGCTTTCTGGTAGCTATGGTTACACAATTTATCCATGAGATTATAATTTTAGGCATCTAAAAATAATAACAGTATAGTATGATTAGCGTAATCTTTCGTGATTGATGTAATAGTCACGGAAAAAAGAAAACAGTCATCTCGTAAGTAACTAGGGCCGAAAAAAATCTAATATCAGAAATTCACTAGCGAAGCTTATGCTGAAGTTATAGAAGTAGTAAGAGATACAGCAGTACTTATAGTAAATGGTCATCATAGTAGTAATATTAGTAGCAAAGATAGTGGTGCTATTTTTAATGGTGACAGTAATGAAAACAGTTGTATTAAGAACAGAAGCAGGGACGGATGTGGATAACGAAAAAGCTGATGATAAATCGAAGGGAAAAAGAGCTGATAAAAAAAAATGTGGTCTACTGCTTTTCTGTTTGGTGGACGCTTAAAAGTCCCCACAGCTGAAAGGATACCATGGACAGTTTTTGAACCAATCAAACACCAGCAAAATTCAATTTGACACACGCCTTCATCCTATCACTCACCCTTTCTCGTTATATTCTCTTTCTTTTCTTTCTAAAAACAATTTTTCTACTTTCACTTTCCCATTTGCTCACTTTTTTCGTTACGCCCCATTAGGACTGTTTGTTTACGATATGGGTTATTTGTGTTAGTTTATTCATTGTTATTTTTCTTCGTTTTAGTACTTGATTATTACATAAATACTACACAGTTTACTGAGTTGTGTATTGATTACATATGACTACAAGATAGATAGATAGATAGATAGATAGATAGATAGATAGATAGATAGATAGATAGATAGATAGATCATGAAGAGATAGATAGATAGATAGATAGATAGATAGATAGATAGATAGATAGATAGATCACGAAGAGATTTAGATAGATAGATAGATAGATAGATAGATAGATAGATAGATAGATAGATAGATCACGAAGAGATTTAGATAGATAGATAGATAGATAGATAGATAGATAGATAGATAGATAGATAGATAGATAGATAGATCACGAAGAGATTTAGATAGATAGATAGATAGATAGATAGATAGATAGATAGATAGATAGATAGATAGATAGATAGATAGATAGATAGAGTGACTTGTAAAAATGTTTTCTTCATTGATATTCCTTCTACTCCAGATTTATAGTGAATTGAGTTTATTATTTGTACAATTCGCGAAAGCCTTTTCATTCATATAACAATTTCTTATATCTTTCTTCTATTGTTTGTCTTTTTTTTTTCACTTTTATGCTTTTTGTCTCAAATATATTTACTTATTTTCATTCATATTTTTCAATATTCATTTTTATAGAACTGTTTTCTGTTTTTGCATTTTCTCTTTCCTTAATTTCTTTATATTCTTCCTTTGGTCTTTTTCCCTAAGCGTATTATTGATTCTATCATCTTGTTTGCACTCCTCTTCCTTTCTTTATTTCATTCACTTTGCTTTATTCGTCCTCTCTATCTATCTATCTATCTATCTATCTATCTATCTATCTATCTATCTCTCTCTCTCTCCTTCGCTTCACGCTAAACTCTATTTTTGGTCGTTGTTTTTTTTTGGGGGGGTGTTTTGTTTTGTTTTGTTTTTTTCTCTCTAACTTAATATTTTTCTTTGTTGAAAGGTTCATTCAGTCGCTTTTCACAGTATTTTCCTTCTGTTATTTATTTCTTCTTTCTTTCCTTTCTCTATGATACTAATTATGTTTGATCTCTGCTTGTTACAAACCGGATGTACGTACAGGGTCGTTTCATTTTATCTTCATAACTTTTTGTTTACATCTTTCCCGCTTAGTCCTTTCTCGCGTTGATTCTTTCTCTCTTTGTACATCTCCTCCCCTTCCTCCTCCTGCTCCTCTTCTTCTTCTTCTTCTTCTTCTTCTTCTTCTTCTTCTTCTTCTTCTTCTTCTATATTTCTTTTATTTTCATATTCTTCCTTGGTTTTTATTTCTCATTTTTCATCAATTCTTCTTTTCTCACTTTTTTCCTTCATTCTCTGTTGTTTTTGTTTTTTTGCGTTTTTTTTTCCATTTTTATTTTTGTCATTATTTCTTTTTTCCTTCTACTTTATTCTTTACTTTTCACTTCACTTTCCTTTTCTGCTTCTTAATTAGTCTCTTTCTACATTCTTTTTTTTTTTTATTTATTATTCATAGCTTCCATTTTTCTCTCCAATAATCCAAATCTGAACCCTTTCCCCAGCAGACTTTCGGCATTCAAAGAGAGATTCAATTGATTTCTTCGTCTTTGATGGATATTATTAGCTGTGGAAATGGCAAAAAACGAATAAAATATTAAAAAAAATGGCAAAAAAAATCAACTTTACGTAAAATTTGATCGTTTGGTCAATGACCTTCGTCCTTTCAAATAAGAAGAAATAGCAAAATATTCTTCATCGTTGGCACAAAGGATAATTTGAAGGAGAAACAGATAGATAGATAGATAGATAGATAGATAGATAGATAGATAGATAGATAGATATGAACAGGCTGAAATAGACAGACAAAGAAAGAAAGAAAGAAAGAAAGAAAAAGAAAGAAAGACTTGTTCATGCATATACGAATGGTGTTGCAAATTCCTCTTTTCTAGGCATTTCAAAAAACTTAACATTATCGGTGAATTTGCTAACATAGAAATTGTTTACCGTCCTTGGATCAAGTAGTATAGATTCACATTCACTGGAAACAGGATGAACAATAACTGGGTATTACTAAAATTATTAAATAGATTTGTCTACCACCCGAGTCGAGGTTTATCTCGTGTTTTCTCTTTAGGATTGGATTTCCAGTTCCTTTTAAAAATCTACTATTCTTCTAACGTCTCCGCCTAAAACTTATTTACTATCGAATTTTTTCATCTATACGAATAGATAGGTTTGCCTATCATCTGGTTCAGACTCCTTCACAGTTTTTTGTTTTTTTTTAACAGGAGTAGATGCCTATGTAGATAGATAGATAGATAGATAGATAGATAGATAGATAGATAGATAGATAGATAGATAGATAGATCACGAAGAGATTTAGATAGATAGATAGATAGATAGATAGATAGATAGATAGATAGATAGATAGATAGATAGGTCACGAAGAGATTTAGATAGATAGATAGATAGATAGATAGATAGATAGATAGATAGATAGATAGATAGAGTGACTTGTAAAAATGTTTTCTTCATTGATATTCCTTCGACTCCAGATTGTTGTTAGCAGAGTGTTCCGATTCCTTCTAATGTCTTTTCTTTCTCTTTCACTTCCGGTGTCCCCTTGCGAGTTGATGGCATTATCTCTTTCCTTGGTTTGCTGCCTCTTACTTTGTAACCCTCTACCTTGGGTGGCTCTTCGACATTGTACAGGGTAAACATCATTATAAAGAAAATACAAGATATAAGCATGGGCAGCGGAATGAATACAGTGTCGATTAAGTAAGGAATTCAGCTCGAAATCCCTTGTAGGTTACACGAAGCGACGGACGCCTGATAGAAACCCCGGGAGTACACTGGGCGAAACATTGAGACAGTAACAAAAAACGTCAAGACATTTTTTCCGATTATTCTTATACTTCTATGTGCCGTGTTCTTTCAGAACATGAGCCATCATTCTTTACTTTATTATCTTGTTTTGCAATCCAGTTACACAATCTCTCTAGTTTTCCCTACGTCCTTCTAGCCTTTAGTATATATCCTGTGAGTGCCAAATTTTCCAAGCCATTTTTCTTCATTATATGTCCCAGAAATTTGAACTCTCTCTTTCACATCCTAACCCCAAATGACCTCTTAGTTCCCACTTCAAGCTTCCTTCTTACTTACATGTTTCATCTATTGTATTCACAGTATCCTTCTTTAGACTTGTCACAAATCTTTTCTGCGTCATATTTTTTATTATTTCACCGCCTAACAAGCCAATAAAGCCACTAAGACGCAATGTTTTACTGAGTGTTAGAGAATGAGAAGAAAAAAAAGCATTATTAAGGTGAGAGAAGATTAACAGAACAGGAATTAAGAAGCTAGCAAATAATAATTGATATTGCCTTTAAATTTTTGAAAATCAAAGTTGCCTGGGAAGCAAGGATCCGAAAAAGGTTTTCACAATCAAGAAGTTTGATAGAAGAAATTGTTAGCATAGAACTTAGGTCACATCTATCCAATAAAGCCACCAAGACACAATGTTATACTGAGTGTTAGAGAATGAGAAAAAAAACATTATTAAGTTGAGAGAAGATTAACAGAACAAGAATTAAGAAGACAACAAATAATAATTGATATTGCCTTTAAATTTTTGAAAATCAAAGTTGCCTGGGAAGCAAGAATCTGAAAAAGGTTTTCACAATCAAGAAATTTGATAGAAGAAATTGTTAGCATAGACCTTAGGTCACATCTAGCCATTTCAACTGTAAAAAATATGTGAGAAAATTGTCCAGTATTCATTACCATATGGGCAAAGTAATATTACTTAACATTTCAACATTCTTTTCTTCGTTTCTAACGAGATTTTCCTATTTATTTTTATACTGTTTAGCTTTTGTAAGCTACCTTTTGCTAGTCGAATGCACCTTCGGGTTTCCGTATGACATTTTCTGTCTTTTGCTATAACATTTCCAATATGGTTAAATTTCTGTACTTGCTTAATTTTGAAGGCTCCACTTTGAAGCTTGAATTTGGGCTATCCCTATCGCTAACGACTTTATATTCTGTCTTCTTAAAATTGATATTTTCTTCTCGTTTACTTTCAATACTTTGCCGAGAAGTTCCTGCATTTTTCTTTGTGTGACCTGCCATCACATCGGCGTCATCTTTGTATCTTGGGGTGTTAAGACTGAGTCCACCAATAATAAATCATGGTAGAACCTGTAAATAATACAAATAGGATTGATAATGTCATTTCATTCAGGCGAATTAGGCATATTTATCTAACGTTTCTTATTTCATTGATATGACATATTTCCGCTGTCGAGAATACATCATTTAATCTGTGCCACATCGACCAATCAGGTGAACTGTCTCGCTTCGGAAATTCAAAGTATTTGATCTTCTGTAATCACATGTTATGTGGTGATATTTCAGGCGACTCAGTTGATCTCTGATTACACATGACCCTCGCACCCACTGTCATGTGATGAAGATTTCAATCAAATTTTGATTTTGTTTCAGATCAATCTTCACAAATGTCAGCCTTTTACCGCGTTAAAGTCAAATCAATTCCTATCTGCTTATCCTGTATTGATTTTAACAGTCCTAACGCAGATTAATACTCATATAATCCAGTTACGTTTACTGGATGGAGTTTATGATTATGACTTGAACATATGCCACTGATATAACATTATTAAAACGCTTAAAGGTGTTTGGCTTCATTCCTGGTTCAAATGAATGCTGATTTTGAAGCAGTCTATCCATTCCTATTGTTAACTCGCATAACATAAGCTTCCTCACCTTCCGTCTAGATTTGCGCTGTGCTAAAATAGGAACATTAACTCTCAACGTGGAATATGGATGTAATACGGTAGTGTAACCGATATCGACGTGGAAAAAGGATTCGGAGAGCTGGGTTCAAATTCCACACTAGACTGTCGCGTTTATCTTTGCACAAATGGCCTTTGGAAAAGAGATCACTCAGTCTCTTCTCCTACTAGTTATGGGCTAAAATAGCACATATGGACTTTCGGACAGATATGGACTTACGAGAAGATATGCATTACTTAAAACGCTAATTGAACCTTGATGGGCTGTGAATCTGTCTGTGGACAAACGATGTAAAGCATATCCCATCAGGTGACCGTTTTCCCTGCAAAATGAACACAGGTTTGAACCCTTCCGGGGGAGGGGCATATTTTATTTATTAGGGTTCGTGTATGCACGGACCGGTAAATGTAATTAACACTGTTTTAGTAAAGAGAATGTTTACTCAAACACGTGTATACAAAACATATAACGTTTAAATCACTGTTTACCAACCTGGGCGCTATCAGTCACCAGTGGGCGATTTCAGCTGTTGGGTGGGCGGAAAATGATGGGCGATTGGAAATTTTAATGGGCAATATAGCATCCTTAGTATTAAAAATATATTTCAACATATACTACAAAGAAGATAAGAAAAGAACCTGTATATAAAAACGGGAAGCTAAATGAGAATAACTAGGTCACATTCCTAGATAAGATATAAATATCCCTGCAAACAAAGAACATTTTGGTATTTTCTATAGTTGTGAGAAGAGTCATTAACATTGAAATAGTTCCTCGGACGGAATAACATCGGATATAAATCAGATAATGGAAGACCAGGAACGATAAAAATATTCGATTAATTTTTATTAGTTGCTATTAGTGTATATTCTTTTTAATTTTATATTTATAAATAAAAATTGTTTCATTTTATTGTTAACACTTGCAACGCTAACCCTAACCAAAAAATTAACCTTGACCATAAAACAAAATTATATATACGAGGTGGGGACCCAAAAGTAACCGGAATTGTGTCATATAATTTTATTCATTTATTGTTGCATGTTTATATTCTTATCACCTTCAAAGTATTATCCATTTGAAAACAGTGCACCGGTTCAGATGTGTTTTCCACTGTCCAAAGAAGTCCTGGAACTCTTGTGAAGTTATGTTTTTTTAATGACTCCTTCTTATCCTCTTCCGCATCTGCAAAATGCTTTCCTTTGAAGACTTTCCTCATTTGGGGGAACAAAAAAATTGCGGGGGTGGGGGGGGCGAGATCGAGTGAATAGAGAAGGTGGGGAAGTGATGTCATGCCATTCCTGGTCAGAAACTGTTTCATACTTAAGGGGGTGTGTGCTGGCGCATTGTCGTGATGCAACCACCACCCTCCACTTATCCAGGGGCGTTTTCGTCTCACCTTGTGTCACAAACCCTTCAAGAGTTCCAGGTGAAAAGCCTGGTTAACAGTTTGACCAGGAGGAACAAATTCTTTGTGGAGAATTCCTTTCACATCAAAGAAACAAATCAGCATGGTCTTGACATTTGTCTTCACTTGACGCGCTTTTTGGGGGTCGTAGTGACGTTGGATGCTTCCATTGACTTGATTGCTGCTTCGTTTCCGGGTCGTAGTTAGAGCACCAGCTGTCGTCACCAGTGATGACCTTCGAAAAAAGGTCTGGATCAACTTCAACTGTTCTTTCATTTTACGAGAAGCATCCTTTCAGCCATGGTAAAAATAGACGAAAAGACGTGAAGCACTTCAAAACAAATGTGAACCACGGAGCTATACGTCTTCCCACGATGACACCAGTTAGCCCACTGATGCCTGAGGGTTGCCACAAGCGATGGAAGCCTGAATTACTACGGGCTTGTCACACAGAAAACGATCGTATAGTTTTCAATGGTCAAGTTTGATTTCATTTGTTCTTTAATACAGTAGTGATAACAACCGCCGCCTGTCAATGCTATTTCTTGCTAAAATTTGGTATTATTTACTACATCATATTTTTATTACCCTTCATAAAGTCAGTTTATGAACCAGTAAAAGGAGCTACAAAGAACAGGGAATCGTGAAGAGTCATTGCTGAAGGCACATAGCATAAATTTATCAATATACTGAAGATAGGTTTATTGTTTTGTCAGGTGATGAGAAGCTCACTTTCTACTAAAAATGAGAAAGTTCATTAACAATAAAGTCATTGTTCTTTAGCACAATCAGGTTCTGATTATTTAGATTTGGACTAATGTCCTGATCTTTGTTGTTATTATCCCAACGTTTCGGCCGTTGTATCCCTCGGCTTCCTCTGGGTGTCTGTTGATACCGGTAATCTTCAGAAAATTTCGAACTTAAACCTTTATTTAATCTAGAGTTGTTGTTCACATTCAGCTGTCCATGTCTTGTGATATTTTATCTTATCCGTTTTAGTAATGCCTAGTTACTGCTTGCAATGTTTCCACTGAATCTAATTCTATACAACACAGCGCAGGGATCGAAATCAAAATTACTGTATCATCAAATTCTCAAACGAACGCTTTAATCTTATAAACTATTGTCTAGTCTTCAGTCACGTTAAATATGAAATTATGAACAAAATGATGAAAAAAGTATCGCGTGGATTATTAACAACTACCCGTGCCGTCAAAATTGACGGCAAGAAGGAATGTATTATAAGTAATATTGTAAGCAATTTTCGTTTAATCCAAGTAGATTCATGCAAATATTTAATAATGTAATGAACTTGAATAATCAAAATGTTTAAAATAAGAGGTCAGTATAAAATTAAAATTATTTAAAGGAAATTACATTAATTCTTGCAAAGCTAAAGAATACAAAAATGTATTAAAATCATGTAATGATTTTAAAGTATATAAAGATGGATTCATTTTCGTCTAAATTGCAAAAACTATAGCGAGCCTTTTTTTTTCGAAAATTTGTCGGAATCCTTCTACTGGTATTTTTGTTAAATGTCAAAATTTGAAGTGCCGGGATTCGATACAATAACATAAAATATCGTTGCGGACCTGCTCGTAATTCGGCCCTTTAGAATAATCCCACGATTTTCATTAAAAGAATAAAATCCAGCAGAAAAAAAAAACAACGTAGTATCAACAAATAAATAATTTATGTATGTATGTGAGAAACAGTGAAATGTTGTTATATATGTGTTTGTGTGGAATAGTACGCGCGAGCGCGCGAGTGTGTGTGTGTGTGTGTGTGTGTGTGTGTGTGTGTTTAGTTGTAACGGGGTATATAAGAGATAGTTAGAATTTAATTCCTACTGTGAACTGTGTCGCCGTAATTTGGAGTGGTCTCTTTCTACTTTGTCAGCGCGGTAATTTTTTGGGTGTGGACGTGAATGGGGTCTTGAAGATAAGCAGCTAGAGTGACGTGGAGTTTGGTGACTGCAGTGCATCTCATGTTTGGGGCCAGACTTCGTAAGTTTTATGCACTTTTTCGTAAGAACATTGGCTCCAGAGTTATATTTATTTATTTCTTCCTAATTGGCCCCAAAAAGCCACGCCGTATGTCTTCTACTACGCCCGCACGATATCTTGATGAAATATTTTATTAGATATTTTATTAAATATTGTAATTTAAATAAAATACAATTAAATTCGTAAAACAAATATTCAACACGACTAATATGTCCGTCTCCCATAATTTTTATTTAAATGAATTTCATTTTTTTTTTTTTTTTTTTTTTAAACAAATATAACTTGAATTTGGGCGGGTGGGTCATTTTTTTTTTTTGTAAACTTCCCCTCAACTGATATACAGAAAAAAATGAACACTGCCCTTCAATTCTTACAAAATAAAATGTAAAATATATATATATATATATATATATATATATATATATATATATATATATATATGCATGTGTGTGTGTGTGTGTGTGTGTAGCATATTAAATATATATAGGTTACAAAGATTAATGGACACCTGAAGAAGACCGTAGAGCACAACGCCCAAAGCGCTATCATAATAACAGTAAACATGAGAAATGTAACTAATGTAAAAATTGTTAACTCTGCTCCGGTCAGAAAGGATCCCCAGACGAAGCTATGTCGAAGGGCAGAGTCTCGTTTTATACGGGGTCTACGGGGAATTTTTGGTCGAGCCTACGGGCTCGGATATTCCACATTAAATTCGGCCTTGTGCCACATCTGACCACGTGGGGCGGTTGGTAGATATCCTGCAGTTGGAGATTCGTCTCCAGCTGTGTTGGTCAAACTCTACCTCCAGGCAGAGAGAATCCACAGACGAGGTTATGTCAAAGGGCTGAGTCTCGTCTCGGGAAACAGCTACCCGACCCCGTTTTATACGAGATCTACGTTAAATTCGGCCTTGTGCTACATCTTTCCGCGTGGGCCGGTTGGTAAATATCCTACAGTTGGAGAGTCATTGTGGAATTCACTTGACTCACTTCTAGCAGTTGACTACTACTTCTACATGCCACTGGCGAATCTTATATGTGCTGTTCTTGTCCTAAGTATTATCGTTCATTACCAATCTTTGTTTGATTATTCTCTTCAGCAACTTTCCCTAGGTTACAGCACTAATCATTTCGTAGAATAATATTTTTCAGAACTCATATTAAACGGTAACATTGACGCAGTAAAACTGACAGCAAAGTCCGACATCTGCTTCCTTAAAATAAACAACTTTATTAATGGCTAAAAGATCGGCCGAAACCGTTCTAACCCAAATATCATTTACACAGTCCTTATCTATGTATGATATTTCTTATGGCTTATTCAGTCTATTTTGTAATTATATTGCCTTTTATTTTGGCAATATATGTTAATAGCGTTATTGTCACTATTATGTTTATGATTTTCGTACTAAAATTGTTGTTCTTTAAAGATAATTTGATTTGCTTGTCGACTATATAATTAGGGTAGCCATTATTGATAAATATTTGTTTTGCATATTTAATTTTTAAAATTAAAATGCACCACAATTACAAAATTATAAAAAAAGCTAAAAAAAAAAAAATCATACATAGATATATAAAACTAGCCACAAAACACACTAGTTCTATAAAACTCACTATTTAACTCTACCTACCCTGATGATAAGCTTTCGACTTCTTAAGTCGAAAGCGTGGACCATATTTCGTGTATTTTTCTTTCAAAATGAACTCGGAGTGTTTCTTATAGAATTTCCTCCTTGTCTGAAAAGGATTATTCGTAATTTAGAAAAAGTAAAATCAGTAAAATTAATCGACACAAAATGTCATATATAAAGTTTGTCTTAAAGAACCTTTACTACTTAAATTCACAGAATATATATATATATATATATATATATATATATATATATATACATATATATATATATATATATATATATATTATATATATATATATATATATATATATATATTTTATATATATATGTTTTCTGTGATTATAATTATAAGAATATTATTCTGATTGCGATATCTATTTTGCAGCATTTCAAACCTAATTAATTTTCTCTAGTTCGAATTTATTTTGTCTCAAAAACACATTACAGATTTAAGTACCAACATGGGGACGACTACAATAAAATGTCGACTGTTTTCAAAATTTGACGTTGATCTGAATACACATGAGCTTCACTAATCTCTTTAGGCCTTTATCATTCTTGATGTCATGGTGGGTGAGGTGAACCCAATTAGTTAACTGCAATTTCTATTTTACTTCCTCCGTTTCTTTCATATTTTTTTTCTTCTTCCTGTGTGTTTATTTCCTTTCCTCCTTGTCTATTCGTTTCTTCGTTTTTTATTCCCTATACGCCAGTTGTTGCTTTGTTTGTTTTTGTTTCCCGTATTACTTCTTTTTGTCTTATTTTTAGGATTAAAATTCAATACGAATTCTCTTGCTTTATTCTTTTCTTTCCATTGCTTCGGGCTGTGGAAGTATAGAGAATCTTTTAAATTTTTTTTTCTTTCTTTCATTTTCCTTTTCTGCTTCATTTTTGTCTTCGTTAAAACTGTTTACGTTTCTTCTGATCTTTTCCTTTCGATAAAACTATTTGTTGTTCGTCTCCTCTTTTCCATTATCCTCTGTTCCTGTGAGTATCGCGTCGCATAGGCGTTGCCTTTTGATTGAGTCTTCATGGGTGGTTGTGTCTTGTACTCGTTTAGTCTTTTTTCGGTGCGAGGATACAAATAAAATATGGTGGAAAGAAATGTCGGATGCTTGGAAAATCGGAGTGTACTTTGTAACTGTCACGTCGACGCCATCTTATGATAACGCATTTCTTTGGCGACCGTGATGATTTTCGAAGGAATCTTCTCGTAGCCGTGTGAACGTCACACTAAAATCTTGTGATATGTTGCTGTTATCAGTTAGTTAAGTGACATACACCAAAACTATAGGATCGAGATAGTCCTGCTATTCAACCCTGGTGGGGAGAAAAGACGTGTATTTGCGTGTAAACAAATCCGGCTGGAATTCGAACTCGGCTCTGTTGCCGTTGTACTCAAAGTAAAAAGCTTCGAGGAGGAAAGTCAACTTTCATTTAGGATGACTAGGGAGACAAAAGAGATTTTTATATTTTATTTCGAAAGATTATTTTTCATACAAGTAACAAGATGGAAGAAAGTCATGGGATTATCCGTTTTTCTGAACCTACATTTCCTTTCGTCTGTCCTAAAATAATCTTCATTTTCTTTTCGTTAAAATAGTTCGCTTCTCTCCTACTGTTGTTTA